GGTGCTTACATTACAATGTTGTGGTATAAGATGGGTGGCTGTCAAGATCCTGGTGCTTACATTACAATGTTGTGGTATAAGATGGGTGGCTGTCATGACCCCGGTGCTTAAAATACAATGTTGTGGTATAAGATTGGTGACTGTCAAGATCCCGGTGCTTACATTACAATGTTGTGGTATAAGATGGGTGGTTGTCAAGTTCCCGGTGCTTATACATTACAATGTTGTGGTATAAGATGGGTGGCTGTCAAGCTCCTGGTGCTTACATTACAATGTTGTGGTATAAGATGGGTGGCTGTCAAGACCCCGGTGCTTACATTACAATGTTGTGGTATAAGATTGGTGACTTTAAAGATCCTGGTGCTTACATTACAATGTTTTTTTGTTTATGATGGTTGACTGTTAAGATATTTATGATTGCATTGCAATTTTCTGTTCTTGAGATGAAGGAATGTAAGGACGTTTGTGTCTGTGTTACAATGATGTGAAGTCATGATAAGATAAAGAAATAGCAATATTCCGGTCTTGACAATACAAGTTGTATTTATCAGGGGTTAATTGACTAAGTATTGGTCCTGACACAACAAACAGCTCTGAATTTGAAACACAATAAAAATATGCTCTCCCTCTACCCCTCGTGCTCGAGGACAATGTCACCAACAAACCCGTCATCATCATGATTTATCCAAATATTAAGTGTTCTAAATCGCAAGACCAAAGTTTTTAAAAAAATTTTTTTTCTTTCAACTGACAAGACTGATATACATTACTTATTGTTATATTTTAGCTTTTAAAATGATATAATTATATTTTTCAGCCAATGAAGACATTACTATTTGTATTAACAGCTAAGTGATTTTTTTACCAGAGAGAATACACAGAGATATATGCAGAGTTGATACTGACAAAATATCTGAAATAAACACTGACATACTGAAAACGTATATAATAATTTGTTTAAGTTGGGATATCATATGTAGGGAAAATGAGTTTATAATAAATATATTTTCTTATTTGATTTTTAGACTTTAATATATGTCATTGAGTAATGGCAACACTTGCATCATATTTTGTTTTCAAAAATTCTTAATCGGAGAAAGAAAATAATTTGGCTTGAGGTCATGAACTGAAAAATGGATTAAAGGTTATCAAAGGCCACTAAAAATCTAATATTTAAAACAACAACAGAACAAGCAATCAGAGCACCTTGATGCTCTAAGACCTAAAGATATAGGAAGGTTTTGATCATTGAGCACTTTGTGGTCCTATACTGTTGTCATTGTTAGTAATTGCTGCTGTGGTATTTTTATGATATTATATTCCAGAGTATTTGTCAATCCGATGGAAGAGAAACAACATAAAGTAGTAATAGAAGAAATAAAACATAAAAGTACAAAACGAATAAAACGATTAAAAACACACACAAATTAAAACGGTAGAACAAAATAAACCCCAACACAAATCAAAATAACAGTCAAACAGTCTATTGGTCGTGCTATTCACAATAATCATGTTGACTAACCAACATGGTCAGTTTCGACCATTTCAATAAGTCATATGGACTGCATTCAATTGTCAAACTGACAAATGTGAATAGTCAATTTGAACAATTGAATTCGTCATGACGAGTATAACAGATAGTCATTTTTGTCGAGCCTGCGACTTTTGTCGCAGAAAGCTCGACATAGGGATAGTGATCCGGCGGCGGCGGCAGCGTTAGTCAACTTCTTCAAAGCTTTATATTTTAGAAGGTGGAAGACCTGGATGCTTCATACTTTGTATATGGATGCCTCATGTTACGAAGTTTCCGTCAGTCACATGTCCAATGTCCTTGACCTCATTTTCATGGTTCAGTGACTACTTGAAAAAAAAGTTAAGATTTTTTGTAATGTTAAATTCTCTCTTATTATAAGTAATAGGATAACTATATTTGGTATGTGCGTACCTTGCAAGGTCCTCATGCCAGTCAGACAGTTTTCACTTGACCTCGACCTCATTTCATGGATCAGTGAACAAGGTTAAATTTTGGTGGTCAAGTCCATATCTCAGATACTATAAGCAATAGGTCAAGTATATTCGGTGAATGGAAGGATTGTAAGGTGTACATGTCCAACTGGCAGGTGTCATCTGACCTTGACCTCATTTTCATGGTTCAGTGGTTATAGTTAAGTTTTTGTGATTTGGTCTGTTTTTCTTATACTGTATGCAATAGGTCTACTATATTTGGTGTATGGAATGATTGTAAGGTGTACATGTCTAGCTGGCAGGTGTCATCTGACCTTGACCTCATTTTCATGGTTCAGTGGTCAAAGTTAAGTTATTGAGTTTTGGTCTTTTTTTTCTAATACTGTATGCAATAGTTCAACTATATTTGGTGTATGGAAATATTTTATGATCTATATGTCAGTCACGCAGGTTTTATTTGACCTTGACCTCATTTTCAAGGTTCATTGCTCAGTGTTAAGTTTTTGTGTTTTGGTCTGTTTTTCTTAAACTATAAGCAATAGGTCAACTATATTTGTTGTATGGAAGAATTGTTAGCTGTACATGCCTGCCTAGCATGGTTCATCTGACCTTGACCTCATTTTCATGGTTCATTGGTCAATGTTTAGTTTACTTGGTTAATGTTAAGTTTATGTGACAGTTGTAATAAAGCTTTATATTTAGGACTATCAACATAATATCAATGATTAGTAAAGAAGGCGAGACATTTCAGCGTGTGCACTCTTGTGACTTCATACCATAGTCATAATTACCACCCTGCTCAGTCAAATGTGACTAATCATCTAGTCAAACGACTAATAACATAGTCAAAATGATTAAAATGCATTGTCATCTAGAGGACGGTCAAACTGACCAATTAAATTGGTCAAATTGACTACTTTATGTTTTCAGTGCGCCTGGATCAAAATGATTAGTAGTTTTGCCTTTCATTTTGGTTTCATGATCGTATATATTTCTTTGCTGCTGGATCAAAATGATTCACAGATTTCTTTCCATAGTCTGTTTAAATTAAATTTAAATTGGTATTTTTCAGAATATTTATTGTGCGCGACTGCTTTCCGTAAATTGCTTCAACCCATTGGTCATACATTTTTTTAAAGCAGTTCGTGGTACTTTTGCCTTTAATTTTGGTTTCATGATCATATTTTTTTGCTGCTGGATCAAAATGATCTTTTTGCCTTTTTATTTAAAAAGAAATCAGCAAATGAACACATATGCTCCATAGTCATTATTCTTCTAAATTAAATAATCTGATACCGCTAAAATTCCTCTACGGATTATGAATCACTGTTAAACATGTTAAATGTTATTCAATATTAAGTATAAGTTTTGAAAATATCTTTTTGTTTAGAGTGACTTAGACAATAACGAACTACACGAAACCAAATATTATTATATATTATATGTAGGAAAATTATTATTTTAGTAATTTTCTAATATTATAAACATCAAGTAACCTATGCAAGGGCAGGTGCCGGATTTTAGTAGAGGGCATGAATATCTACGGAAATTTTTTGACGTTTTTATCAATTATTTATGAAAAAAAAAAATGTATAGTTTGCATTCAAAAAGGTACATTTGTCGATTAAATAATGTTATTTTTTTAGCTCAAAGGGCCAAGTGAGCTTTTCTCATCACTTGGCGTCGTCGTCCGTCGTCCCGCGTCCGTCGTCCGTAAACTTTTACAATAATCTTCTCCTCTGAAACTACTGGGCCAAATTTAACCAAACTTGGCCACAATCATCATTAGGGTATCTTATTTAAAAAATGTGTCCGGTGACCCGGCCAGCCAACCAAGATGGCCGCCATGGCTAAAAAAAGAACATAGGGGTAAAATGTAGATTTTGGCTTATATCTCTGAAACCAAAGCATTAAGAGCAAATCTGACGAGATAAAAATATTTATCAGGTCAAGATCTATCTGCCCTTAAACTTTCAGATGAATCGGACAACCCGTTGTTAGGTTGCTGCACCTGAATTAGTAATTTTAAGGAAATTTTGCCGTATTTGGTTATTATCTTGAATATTATTATAGATAGAGATAAACTGTAAACAGCAATAATGTTCAGCAAAGTAAGTTCTACAAATAAGTCAACATGACCAAAATGGTCAGTTGACCCCTTAAGGAGTTATTGCCCTTTTATAGTCAATTTTTAACAATTTTTCGTAAATTTATGTTATCTTTTACAAAAATCTTCTCTGAAACTACTAAGATGAATTTAACCAAAGTTGTAAACAATCATCATTAGGGTATGTAGTTAAAAAATTGTGTCTGATGACCCCGCCCGCAAACCAAGATGGCCGACATGGCTAATAATAGTAAATAGGGTAAAATGCAGTTTTTGGCTCATATATCTAAACCCAAAGCATTTCGAGCAAATCTTTCAAAATAACAAAATTGTTCATTAGGTCAAGATCTATCTACCCTTAAATTTTCAGACCATTCAGGCAACCCGTTGTTGGGTTGATGCCCCTGAATTGGTAATTTTTAGAAATTTTTTCAACTTTTGGTTATTATCTTGAATATTATTATAGATAGAGATAAACTGTAAACAGCAACAATGTACAGCAAAATAAGACCTACAAATAAGCCAACATGACCAAAATGGTCAATTGACCCCTTAAGGAGTTATTGCCCTTTATAATCAATTTTTAACAATTTTCATAAATTTTGTAAATTTTTACAAAATAATTTCCACTGAAACTTCTGGGACAAGTTCATTATAGATAGAGATAATTGTAATCATCAAGAATGTTCAGTAAAGTAAGATCTTCAAACACATCACCATCACCAAAACACAATTTTGTCATGAATCCATCTGTGTCCTTTGTTTAATATGCACTTAGACCAAGGTGAGCGACACAGGCTCTTTAGAGCCTCTAGTTGTCATGTATTAAATTGTATTTTACCTGTGTTTATTTTGTTCTCAGTTTAAAATGTTGGACTTTATAACTATTTATAATCATATTCTTTGACTCAGACACGTGACAAAATATATTTTACTTCCTGTTTGAAAATTGTCATACCTTGTTTTCTTTTAGGTGAGTATTAAAATGAATAACTTTAAACTTAAAGTCTTTACTTCCAAAAATGTACTTATTAAAAATGTATACCCATGTAAATAAAATAAGGAAATATATAGTTTATTGATATAAATTCCATTGTTCTCGTCATTGACCTTACATACTTATGAGTGAAAGTAAGTATAAAATATGTTCACGTGAACATATTCATGATATTTGTTCAAATATTTGTCGTTAAACAACCAACAATAAATCAATCAAATATTGTCTTTCTGTGTGTCTGTATTATAGTTATTCCAATGACAAGGACGTTACCTTATATTTATGTTCTTCTATTCGACAGTAAAACCGAACAAATAAAAAAGAGGGAGAGGTTGACTGTTATTAAGTATAAATACTTTTTACCGGTTGAATCTTGAATAAGTGGCCAAGTGATATGAAAGCTATATACATCTTGCCTGGTTAAACTGCCACAGTACCTGTCAAACATGTTTCCCCACAAATATCAATCCTTCATCCTGCTGTTTTTAATACAGAACATAATAAAGGTTACCGACATAGCTCGTATACATGGTAAAATCTGTATTCTTAAGAAACACAACTCGTTGTCTACCAACATAATCTTAATAAAGAATTTACAACTGTGAATTATAATTGCTAGATGAATTAGAGAAAAAGGTACAAAGTTTAACATATACTATAGTATGTGCAACTGTAATAGTCTTTTCAGGGCTGTCAAATAAATGCATAGTTGGAAATGCGTCTGCAAAACACCAGTACTTGCAAACTGAGTACACTTTTTTTTTCAATTTGTAGAATTTTGTCTGTTATTTTTGTTTTCATACACTCATACACAGGAATAAAACATGGGCTTTAATGGATTCGTGCTCTTGCTGTCAGCATATACTAACCGGTCTGAAAAATAACAACAACTAAACAGATACATGTGATTGATAACTTTTCATATGTAAGATAAATATCTTAATTTTATCAAAGATGACGCAACTATATAATAAATGGTTTTATCGAGTAGGCATCATATTTCCACAAATGAGTCTGAAATAATGTACAGAACACCCGAGCTTGTATTAATTATCACTATGACAGAAGAACTCGGCTAATACACATATACACATGCATGTATTTATCATCTATGTAAAATTCCGTTTGATTTGTTTGAATTATTCAATTTAAGATGACAATGGAAGCTCAAACTGATTGGCAGATAGGAAAATCACTGTCAGATCGTATGAAATACATGTTAGATAATCAGCTGATGTGTGACGTCACATTCCATGTTGGATCAGACAAGTCACCAATCAAAGCCCACAAGTACATGCTGGCGAGTGCTAGCCCTGTATTCTACAGCATGTTTGAAGGACCCCTATCAGAAAAGGGTGATGTTGATATTGCAGACATTACTCCAGAATATTTTATTATGATGTTACAGTAAGTTAATATAGTAATTTTAACATGTTAAAATATTAGTTTGATATAGTTATCCATGTATAAAGCGTTAATCTGGATGAAGGAATTTAACTCTTTAAAGCTGTATCTCGTTTGTAATATACAGTCTTTTTGTTCTCATTAGCCTATTGTGAAACATATTTAAAAGTTAACACTATATGTATGTATACGTAAGACAAAAATGTTTTAAAACCTCCTTAAAGCTACGAGATATGAAAAAAATGGAATATGATTTGTTTTGGTACAATCATTAATAAAGTGAAATAATGAAATAATAATTCGTTTTTTAGAAGCCAATTTTGTTCAATTTTGTCAAAATAAGCAAAGAAACATCGTTGATGAATTATTCACTTGCAAGTGAATAATTCGACCTGATTAAATCCGTATTCCTGTGACCTTTATCTTAACCCATTAGCTAGAGAACTTTCAGAACTTTATTAAACAAACTCAGACGCAGTAACTGCGCCACAGGAGCATCAATTAGACATAGTACATTATAATTACAGATGACAGAATGAGTAGAAATTATCTAATATATAGAACTATAAAATTTCAAGTTATTAGAACATATATTATAGACAAAGTAACTATAAATAATTGTATAATGTATATATGATATAACACATATTTCAAAAGGTAATACACAAGTTCATGCTTCAACTATTTATGTTTTGAGTGCACTCGATTCGGTTCGTGTACGTCACGTCACCACCACGTGTAACTAGAGTGTTGTGTTATAGGAATGTAAATAAATATGTTATCCGAGTACTAGATCATGAAGTAAGGTGACTTTTCAGTTTGACTCTATAAGAGTTTTACAATCTTTTGGAGAAACCATGAGAGGTGAGTAAGAACTTGTGTATTACCTATATTCAACATTTTATTCATTTTAGACTCACTGGGTACATTAACAAAGTAACCCGCTATATATTTAGTTCTAATATCTTTTAATTCATCACAGCAGAAAATATAATGAAATTCATTTTCAACAGCTTTTGCACAATCTTTCATCCCTTAGTATACCAGCCCAACGTCCCGTCTCTATCGGATATTTGAGATTGTATGTTCTCAGTTTGCAGATATAGTTTCTATTTACAGGATTTAACCGTAAAAGATAATCTTCTAATTCAAACTCTATCTTAGATTTAGAATAACATTCCCCTTGTGAAGAATTAGTTACATCTGAAAACCACTTTTGTATAAATTGATCGTGTAATCTCTGTCTTACAACAATTTAAAAATAATCAGAATTTACATATTCTTGATTATTCCATATTTCACTATACCCCGTTTCATCAAATATGGATTTAATATAATTAACCCAGAGCATGTTTCTATTGCCATTTTCATATAATTTAATTTTGGATGTAACGCGTCTTCTAATTGGCTGACGTTGTTTTGTTTATCAGCTCATAGACATAATTCTGTCATGTGACCGTGACGTCATCAACGTTTTTTCATGGTTTACTCTGGTTTAAAATAAAATTTAGAATTAAATTATAAGAAATGACTGTAATATTTTTTCTGTCTATTCGAAATAACATAAAAAATGTGGTGCACACTTTTCAATAACCCGCTACGCGGGTTATTCAGTGTGCATCACATTTTTGATGTTATTTCTTCATAGACAGAAAAAATATTACAGTCATTCCTTAAATTATTTGAACAGTAATTTGTACATTTTACCAGACAATTTCTCTGCATTTCCAACTAGTTTGGTCCAGAAACACAGCATTTTAAATTTTATCTGTAGGGTATCGCCCAAGTTCGCCAATATAGAAGACACCAATACATCAAAAAGTTTTAGTTGCAAATCTATAGGTATACTAATATTGCGAATTTTCGTATACAACGAATATAGTGATTTCTTTCCTTGTTCCACAAGTTTTTTGCTTGCTTTATAAAAATTACCATTATAATTAAGCAAAATACCTAAATAGTTATAATCGTCCTGCTGATATATTTTTTCACCAAATATTTCAAAATTATAGTCTACAGTACACTTTCTCTTTGAGAACACCACAACTACTGTTTTTGATACATTAACTTGAGTTTCCATAAGTTACACTAATTTTTAAACACTTTAAGTGCTTGTTTTAATTCCTGTGATGATTCTGCAAATATAACAGTATCGTCTGCATATAGTAATACAAATAGTTTCATATATATACCAAAGTTCTCAAAACTTAAAGAGCTTTGAGTGTCTAGTCCGATTTCACAATTTGCCCATAAAGTCTATTTCCAGTTGCTTTTATGACAGATGATTCGTCAAAGAAATGTAAAAAATAAGGATTAATTGCCGCGACAGTATTTACATATTCGTCAAATCGTCGTTGGTTCTCAGCACTTAAGGCTTCCTTAGCACATACTTTTAATTTTTTGTGTGACATTTGGCAATCATTTCTCAAAATTTTGAAATTGTAGATAGACTTGGTAAAAGATCATGTGTCGTTACTCCATCAGACAATAACTTACTTTGAATTTACCTTCCCATAAATTGATGGCTGGCGAAATTTATAGTATCTTATAGCCTGGAAAATGTCTTCGGAACTTTTAAGCCTCGTTGTACCATGTTGATATTTTACCGGAGATACAGAACCATCTAATTGATATAAATCAATGACATTGCGAACCGTATTGTGAGAAACGGCACAGTGTTTTGAAATAAATGCACAAGTATGATTTCCAGATAAATACATGTCTAGAATAGTCCTTCTTGTTACAACATTAGTAGCCTTTCCAACTTCATAGTATCTTCCAAATGAATTTTGCTTGATCATATTACATGCACTGTGAAGGAATATGTATAAATGTCCAGCTTTTCACATTGAGAACTGTTATATTTGAAAACAGGTTTTGTTTAAACTTACAAGTACATGCACATTCATCATTTTTTAAAAAGTACTCACATGTCATACTTTCTACTATAAATGAACTATAATTCAATCTTATTCATTTATATACTACCAAAATGGATGATATGACAGTGACTGAATTTCTTTCCCAAATTGGGAAGGAATTTATACAATACTCGGATTATTTCGTTTAACATAAGTTTCTGAATGTCTCTTCGTTACGCTGTACTCACATTCCGGATGACATTTATTACATTTTTAGAACTGTATTAACATTAGGAGAAAAGAGACAAATTGAAAATGCCCTCATGAAATTAAAAAATGGCGCCGTAAATGAAAAAGAAACTTGTAAATTTGAACCTGAATCTTCAGCACTTAACAAAAGGAGTAGGCCCAGTAAGACCCCTTTTTGGCCCCAAAATATAGCAGTTTTACAAAATTGTTAAAATGTAAATTTTTAGCTATTTATTGGAAAGAAGAATACTTCTGTTACATAAATATGGGCTGTTTTTGACAATACAATGCACATGTATCGGGTACTAGCATCATTAAGTCATGCTAAGAAATGTCTGAAATGGAAGAGGCCGCATTTGTGTTCATTCTTACGATTTAAATGTAAGTTGTATTTGATGATAATACATAACATATATAAAGGTTGAGAATGAGCACGGATGCGGCCACTTTCATTTTTGACAAAAACCATCTGAAAAGTGACATATTATGGCATATTTGATAGATTTTTCATATTTAATCTTGAATTCGAGCGTCTGTAATGACTAAATCAGTTCAAATTTTTCACATAACTTAATTGAATCGACTGAAGTAGACACTTAAGTGTTTAAAAGGTGTCCAAAATCTTTCATCCGATGAACCTGAATTTTGAGGCCAAAATCGGCCCTTACCGGACCTACTCCTTTCTGGAAAGCTTGAAGACAGACTATCACAGAAAAAGATAGAACTGGCAGATAAAGAGCATCAACTTAGACAACTGGAAATGCCAATAGAGGAACCGCCACCACAAGGAAATTTAAATTATAAGTAAATTTTTTGTTTTATATATATTTTTCTTGCTCCTCAATCTATGATTTTCTGTGATTTTTTTTTGTCGTGATAGCTACTTTATTATGTTTTCTCTCTTTTGCTATCTTATCTTTTCGGGTGAACATTAGATTCATTAATTAGTTCGTACGACATACATCGACTGCTTAAGTATACACAACTTTTATTATAAAATAGTCCGTTTGACTTCTATAAATCTTCAGAACATAATTCTTAAACATTTTTTTCTTGACGTATGTTAATGTATGATATACATGTATACGAACTCTGACTAAGGTTGTTTTTTTAAAAATGTCCAGTGGAAAATATTACTAAGGTTACTTATAGAAATTGAACAATGAAAAACACAAAATCATGTATACAGTCAAAAAGTTTAGTAATCAGGTGACATAAAAAGAAGTCCAAATTTGTTGCTGGTCATACTTATTCAAATGAGAAAAGTCACATGGTACAATGAAACAGGTTTAATGTCTAATGTTTTTGTTTTGAATGGAAGGCTGTTACACTATTCATACTTACTTCATCAAGTATTAATTTTTATAAAAAAAAAATAGAAGTAACATAGAAACCTTATGTTGAAACTTTTTTTTATTGTTGGCCCAAAATTATGATATTCATATTCAGAGTTCGTATATGACAAACATCATACATCAAGAAAAAAATGTCGATTTTTAAGAATTATTTTCTGAAGATTTATAGAGGTCAAACGAATTATACCGGTACTCATGAGTACGTCACATTCCTATCGCTGGTCATTGTGTGTTGTTTACCGTTAAAAAAGCATTTCTTCTTAACCATAATTTTTTTTGTCATTTAAAAAATTAAAACCTGTTTGTGACAAACTGAAAAAAAATACCCAAAAAGTGAAAAATCAAAATACAATTTACAACATATTATAAAACAAAACTTATAACCATCAAACGGCGGGAAACGGCTGACTCGGACTTTTACCTCACATTTGCATTGATATGGGTGTTACAATGTATGAGGCAAAATAGTTTACCCTATATTGTAGGGAAAATCCGCTATTAGTGTAACTCATAAAGTCAAAATTTTCAGAAACATTTT